TGAAAATCCAGATCCAAAAAGGTATTGGCACACCTAGATTCATAGCAGCATTATTCATGGTGGCCAGGACATGGAAGCAACCTAAGTGTCCTACGATAGATGATTAGCTAAAGAAGCTGTGGTACATATATACAGTGGAATATTACTCAGCCATAAGAAGAGATGAAATACTGCCATTTGCAACAACATAGATGGACCTCGAGATAATCATGCTAAGCGAAATAAGCCAGACAGAAAAAGTTGAAAATCAAATGATACGACTTATATGTGGGATATAAACCTAAAAGTAACAAATAAATAGGACAAACAAACAGAGACTCATGGACATGGACTATAGGCTAGTGGTTATCAGAGGACTATGGACTAGTGGTTACTAGTGGGGTGGGGGAGGAAGGGGGAGGTAGACAGAGTAAAGTGGGTCAGATATAGGGTTTGGGGGAGGGTGAAGTGGGTAAAGGAGATCAAATATATGGTAGCTGAAGTAAACTGGACTTTAGATGGTAAACACACAATAGAATATATAGATATCAAATGATAATGTACACCTGAAAATTATATAATTGTATTAACCAATGTTACCCCAATAAACTCAATTAAAAAGAAAGAAAGAAAGAAAAGATGGACTTACAGACAATGAGAACTTTCTATACTACCTTTGCAACTTTTCTGTAAATCTAAAATTTTCAAAATTAATAGTTTATTAGGTAGGTACCTATTCACACAGGAACACAAAACTGAGCTGTGGTGATGTTCTTTCTGATAAAAGCACAGAGGGGACTGTACAAGCGTCATTTTAAAAATATCCCAGAGAGAAGTGAAGTAGTGATTGGGAGTAGGGCATAAGGGAGGCAGCTACATGCTGGTAATTTCTATTTCCTAACCTGGATTGGTGGAGGCCCCAGTGTGTTCTTTTTATGATAATTACTAAACTGTACTTCTCCCTACATTGCCCTTCAGTAAAAAGAAGTTAGGTATTAACAATGTCTAAATAAATGAGATATATACATAGAGAAGTAAAAACCTGTATGGGGCCAGTTACAACAGTGTATCATAAGTCTAAAATTTCAGAACTGGGAAGGATCTTGGAAATCACCAGCACCTGGCATGAACAGTTCTTATGGAGGGGCCCTGGAGATACTGGTGGAGCAGGGCTCACAGGCCCGGGCATCTGCATTCAAGCAAGTTCCAGGTGATCCAGATGCACACCCAGGTCACAAATCACTGAACTACCCCAGGCGGCCTAGGTCACCAGATTCCTGGCTCTCTCTATCTGCCATCCAAAGGTCTTGCTGAGACCCCTGAGATATCCTAATTCCACAACAGAAAAATCAATCTCAGTAGGTTCTACTAACCTAAAAAGGCTTACGCAAAATTGAGTTTTCCAACACAGTTTAGATTTCATTATTCTACTACAGCATTAATACATTTGTTATTTCTTGCTTATTAAAAATGGCAGATTTATAGATTCATATGATATTGAAGCTGGAGAGCAACTATTCATTTCAGAGATGAGGAAACTGCTACCAGAGATTATTAGTAACTTGTCACAAGTTTCTAGAATTCAATTATTTTTTAGGTAAATCAATTAAACTAGATTTCTCCTCCATGGTTAATAAGCAGTACATAATACCACTAATTTATGACTTAGATGCTTCATGCATAATTCAGTGCATTGTGATTTCTATGAAAGTTTCTGTACAAAATAATTCTGGCTGCACATCTGATGGCAGACGAAAAGAAGACAACAAAATACTTCACTGAATACTTAAAGTGCTCCCTTTTTATATGTAGACAGATCAGGTAAATTAGAGAGGAACTTAAGAAAACTTTTTAAGAAACAACAATTTTAGGTAGGCAATTGTAAGGAAGATAACAGTCATGCATGCCAAAGCCACGTGATTCTTCCACAGGCCCCAAGGCGAGATATCGATGCCCTGCTTTATCAAGAATTCTTCTCCAGTACATCTGAAATTCAACAGAAAAAGAATATGACTTCAATCTTAGCATGAGTACAATTTTGCTCAATATAATCACCATTCATTATTTTAAGAAGCCTATAGCTTACCAAGTCTTAAATAACTATCCCTTCATATAAACTAGGTAACAGTTAATGAGTGCTTACAATTCTGCTTGATACACGCTGAACATCCTGCATGTAATAGTTTACTTAATACCTAAAACAATGCAATGGGGTTAATATTACACACATTAAAAGATGAAGAGAGTATGGTTTAAGGAACTTGACCAAGTTCACAGACTCACATTTTGAACCAAGCTGCCTCTCCAGATTCATTTGTGTCCAGATCTATGATGCCTTCAAAGGGCAGAAACATTTACTAAGTAATTTTTCACTTATTCCTGAGGGGGAAAACCTCAACTTTAACAGGTGACATCTGAGATCTTCACAAAGACGATCAAATCTCTATATATATGAGGGTTAGGGGCACAGGCCCATGCAAAGTTGAAAAGCCACATATAACTTTGACTCCCTCAAAATTTAACTGTATACAGCCTACTGTTGCCTGGAGCCGTATCAATAACATAAAGAGTCAGTTAACACATTTTGTATGTTATCTGTATTATACACTATAGTCTTCAGAATAAAGTAAGCAAGAGAAAAATGTTATTTAAAAAATCATGAAGAAAAAGTACATTTACAGCATTTATTGAAAAATAATCTGCATATAACTGAGCCCGTGCAGTCCAAATTTGTGTTGTTCAAGAATTAACTCTACTTCAGAAGAGCATTTTGTATTATTATCCAAAGCTATTTCTGTTCCACTTGAATGGTCATGAGGTCATGAGATTTAGGATACCAAAAACACCAAAAATGTGCCACGTTTGATTTCATGATGTCTCCTAAATACAGGAGGAAGAGGCAAGTGCCTGGACTGTGGCAGGAAAATGTCCACTCCCTTTCCTTCTGCTGCCCTTTTAGCTCTTACTGCTGACCATGGGTTGGGCTCACAGGAAGCCCTAAGTGTGTGGATCCATTCACTGCACGTAATCTATACAGTGCAGATACTGTAAGGACTTGGTAAAACATCAAAGCAACGCATTTCAAACTCGCAAGTTCTGAAAATCAAAACTCACACTCACAATCAAAACAGCAAAAGGATATTTTAAAAGGCACAAAACAAGCAATACATAAGAACAATTTCTCCAATGTAAATACAATTCTGAACATAGTAGAAGACCTAGTTGTTGCACAGCACCTTGACAAGCATTAGTGGACAAATCACTTTACAGGCAAGAAAACTTAGGACCAAAAAAGTCAGTGTCCCTGAAAGGACTCATACCAGCTCTAAGCCCAGTGGCCTTTCTGCATCACACCACACAGTAAGCAAACCCACTAACACACTGAATGCAAACTTACGTTGCGGCGCTACAGGTGTTGTTTGCTGTTATATTGAGTCCTGGGCAGAAGTTTTGTCCCAAAAATTCATTATGCTGCAAAGCCTATAATACAAGAGGAAGTGGACAAGTGGAAAACTATTTAAATAGTGTTAAATTTCAAAAAGTTTCCAAAGAATGATCACAATTGCATTCTCCTGGTTTAATCTTTATTGTTTCTGCAACAAACCAGGTTCACATTTACAGTCTTTGTCACACCAAAGCAACTAAAATGATTCTTCCTGGCAATCAAGAGGCCTTAGGGGTAGGACTTCAGCTTCTAAATCAAAGGACATAAAGTATTTGGCCTTGAGGTGAAACTTCTGGTTATATTACCCCATGGCTCCTTCCTCCTTTCCCCAATGTATAACCCCATAAACACTATAATTTAAATGATACAGTGGTACACAATGACTTGTGAATTTATGGTAACATCTTTTATATTGTTTTAATCAAAACCACTTAAGACAGACAGTTTCCTTTGTATTACATTCTAAAGCCAATAGTAGCTGTGAATATTATATGGTTTTGGTTTTTCTTCTAAATTCGCTTTGCATATAAAATATGAATTCTAGGCTCTCATCATCCTACTACTTATTTCCCCACTGAACTAAAAAGCAACTACATTTTTTTTCCATCAATTGGTCAACCTTTCTCCTTCACTATGAGTTCTCTCCTCACCCTTTGCCTCTCCCTCAAACAACAGGGTGACTGGGGAAAGCCAGGTGACAACCAAAGTGACCTAAGGCTTAATAGAAAAGTCTTCTTCATTGCTCCTAAAAGAAAATTCCTGGAGATTTCCACAGGTCACGTCTGGGCACGTGAGATGGTCAGGCTTTATTCTGGTTGTTCCTAGCTTGGGAGCAATGAACCAGTCACAGGGACAGGTGAGGAAAACTTACCGCATAGCCGTATCGAGGAATGCTGAGGTACTGAAGCCATGAGAGCCAAGGCATGATGGTTGTGAGATTGACCAACAGCCCTGAAAAAATCTACAAAAAGCAAATACCAAGAATCGGGACTGATGGAGTGATTTCATGAAGAATTCTGGACAACACCCTCCTTAAGTCCCCTACAATCTTTCTTGAAATTTGTTCCACTACTCTAAAGACTTAGCATATCCTCTTTGCCTGTGCATATTTTTCTATAACTGAGGCTGTTTATGATTTTAAAAGAATGAAAATATATATTTCATTTAATTGGAAGATCCTTACTTGTCAAGGCTTTTACTTTCTTTTTAAAGTCACACAATGGAAGGTCCATAAGCATGACTGTCCTCATCCTACAACCACTATATGTTCCCACCAACAGACATACACAGCACATTCTGAGCATCTCCTGCCCCTCTCTACTTCCACAACAGTAAGCTTCATTATTTGCAGAGGTTTGCATTCTATCTCTTTACGACTTTAGGAATAACTTGGTGTTCAAAATGCATGCTTTAAATGAAACGTAGAGCTGTTACACAGCATGATGTCATGAAGTGCAGCATAAAATATGGTCAATAACTTTATTTAAAACTACCAAAAAGCAATACTGCAACGGAGACCCCAGGAAGGATTGTTCCAGCAACAGACAGCCACGTAAGAAGAGATTCATACAGAACTTCTCCTAACTGGCACTCGGTCTGCTGGGATGGGCATAATAATGAATATGTTGCTGGTATGACTACATGTTTTTTTGATTTGACTACCAAGTGCTGAATATATATCATCTCTCAATAAAATATAATTTCATGAGTAGTTCAAAAAGTTCTAAATATAAACCATTAAATAATAAATCGAATATCTAATATATCAAACAAAATATTTTTATATACTAAAGGACATTTTATCTATTGAATGACATTACAGAAAACATACACAAAGTTTATGAACTTCTCAATAATGTTTAGATTGGTAGTTTTCAATGGTATAGTTTGTGCTAATTACAAATTTTTAAAGACATCTACTTCTATTCTAGCAGAGAGGACATGCGTATTAAGTAAGTAGGTTAAGTATTCCTATTTACTTGATGTAGTATGGGGAAATGTGCTAACTGTTTCCCTTTACCTGTTGATTCATCTATGTGTGTGCAAAGTGAAGGGGCATGTAAGCTTAGGATAAAGTAACCGTTAAAAAAAAAAGATGTGGAAATATTTATATAAGAGAATGTCACGAACCCAGAAAGGAGGAGACCTAACACTGTGTGGACTTTGGAATTTTTCAGTATTTTTAAAACATTCTTTTTCAAAATATGGGAGGAACCCAAGAAGGATGACCCATGCCACATACTGTTCATGGAGCTTAGTTTCTCCCTTGGAGAATGTCTGATCCAACCAAATCAGCTGAGACACTGGTTAAATAAGCCAGCAGTTCTCTAAAACCAGTGCCGAAGAAAGGCAATTAATTTGTCATTTCATGAGGGAATTTTTCAATCAAAGTTTTCTGGTTTTTGAAGTTCCCGTTTATCAAGATTTCACTATATGTCATAAAAAGTATCTTTTAAAATCTCATTTGGAACAACATGTTAACTAAAGTTAAGGCATTATATTAGAACAGTAGCAAAAAAGGCTGGGTGAGGTCAGGAAAAAGCCGATTCATTCCCTAATACAAGCTATATTTTAATATACGGCTTCCTTAATGCAAAGAGACCCATTTACAGAATCCTCAAAGCAGGTTTTCCATGACAGGTGAGTTTGCAGGAAGGGACAAAGGGAAATAATTACTTCTCAGAGAAGCACAGTTTCTACTCACCATCATAAACACAAAAGAGATGGTCATGAGAAGTGTTGCTATGGATACCACACTCTGACCTGCTGCTATGGCCAGTGCCATAGAACTGGCTGAATAAGCCACCATCATAAGAGTAAGCATCATGATGAAAAAAGCTCCAAAAAAATTCATCCTCTATCCAACCACCCTGAGTCACCAGTTTCACTGTTCCTCCCCATATAACTGTATAAAGTTTCTTTTTTATACTTACTGCACAGGCACTTTGCCATGTATTACCTATGCTCCTTATGTGTCAGTAGTAACAATCTCTGAGTTCCTCAGAGGGAGAGTGGGAAGCGATGCACCTGGCCAGAATTCTACTGCCTTCTCTTAAAGAAGGAAACTTGTCAAGAGCACAGTCTTTCTACTCTGACATCGCCACATTACTGAGTGTTTGTCGTAAGTGCATTAGTGAAGAATGGAGAAGATTAGAATATTGTGACCTCCCAGTAAGTAGCCTCACTATCTGAGGGACTGCCTCCAGGATCCAAGTCTCTGAGACTAAGTGCCATAGAGCTCTGAAATTAAGAAAGGGTTAAATTACGATTCACAAAACTTCCTTATAAACTATAATGGGCTATTATTATGGGTCAAACAATCTAATCATTTTGGAACAGCCATAAGAACAGTCAGGAGTCTGAGGATCTAGGTTCTATGCCTAATTCATGATATATCTCTTATTTTTAAAATGGAAGTTTAGGCTCAGTGAATCTTCTATAGTGTTTTACATTTCTGGTATGTATGTGTATATCAGTGAAATACATGGAAATTCCAAGGCTTTGAGCCTGGGGTGAAGCCGAAACACAATACACAAATGAATCTTTCTATATCTCTCTCTCACACACACACACACACATACCCACACATGCATGCACACACACATCCATCCATATATACACAAGAAGAATTTTAGATAGGTAATAAAATATCCCGCCTCCAGCTCCTCCAGCACAGTCCCAAATACTTCATGAATTCTTTCCAGGTTTACATGACACATATCATCTCTCAGTAAAAAGTAGTTTTATAAATAGGCTTAAATGTTAGTTTGGAGAAAGTCTTGACAAAAATGTCCTCAGAGAACAGCTATTTCAGAGTGTGCACAATAGACAGATGCTTCCTTATCTCATGGCTTGGTTTATACTTTTGGGAATCAAAAACATGCTTGCAAAAAGAAATTTGCTTTCCCTCACCTACCGGACTAAAGATACATAGTTTTTGTCTTATTGCTTACCTAACAAGAAGTATGTTATACAAGTAAATATAATACTTGGTAACATCCTCAAGAACAGTAAATCAGAGAACAGTTTCCCAAAGAAATAAGATGACACTCTGTAGTATCCACTGATATATTCATGTCTAAAAAACAAAAATTCATATCATACATCCCACATTAATTTAAGAAGGCACAGACCAGATAATTAACACACCTCTGTACAGATTTCTACTGCCACCAGGGTTTTAACAGCTGCACCTTCTCAGATCTACCAGGTTAACCCACCACCTCCACCCAGTCAGCATTAGACACTGTCAAGTGCAAGCTTCCCCTGCGGCACAGTCCCCGCCAAGCTCTTTGCAATGACCTCTCCCTCTCATTACAGAACTCCCTCCCAAGGCCATCCACTCTGCCCTCGGGGACTCCCCTCCAGGTAAACAGGTTCTGCACCTCCTCCCTCTCTTCTGACACTGGCTCTCTGTGAAGAGCACTCAGTAGCTGATCTCAGTTGGTCAGAGAGGCTTTTCTTTCTCTCAACTTCTCATTATGAAGAAGGTGGCTCGCCTATCCTCCACACCCCCCAGTGCAGCTTCTGACCACTAAACCCTGGTTACTCCCTCCGTCTCATGATGAAAGAAGAAAGCCGCATTTCTTTCTTCAATGATCGTGCCTGACAACCGAACATCTTGTCAGCTATCTAATCTTATTTTCTCCCCTCTGAAGTCCTAGAACCCTTCCTTCTCTTCCAAACATCTTCCTCTCATGATTCCAAACCCTTCCACCAAAATCCTCATTCTTTCCCTCTCTAATGATTAATTTCTTCAAATGTGTAAATATGGACAAATCTCTTCCAACACTGAAAAACACAATAAACAAACCAGCCCACACTTAATTCAAAGCTGCCTTCTGGCTCTTTCTATTCTCCCTATAATCTTTGTCATTTTTAACTCCCCACCTTCAACTGACTGTTCAACCCACTACTTTCTCTCTATCAAGCCCCTCAAACTTTCCTAGTGAAGGTCACCATGACTTCTTCTTGGGTAAAACAAAAGATCCTTTCTAGCCACTTTATTGCTTGCCTTCTCTGTAGCATTTGCATTCGATGCTACGCCCTAAACTTGAACCTCTTTTTTCCTCTGGGCTCTGGCCCCTCGTGATTTTCCTCCTAGCCTCTGGCTGCTTTCTCTCACAATTAACAATGGTAATTTCCAGGAACCAAACTGTGGCCCACTTCTGAGTGTGACCAGTTTGACCAGCAGTCCTGACACTGAACAGAGCTCATCCTGAAATAGAGACATACTCACATAAAGAGCTTCTTCTCGACCACAAAGAGCTCTACGGATGATATACTGCTGAAACACTGGTTGGTCGTCAGGAAGAAAAGCACCCCAGCTCTGTGATGAAAGAAAGAGAACGAAAGCATCGCAATCAAATAAACATTCTTAGACCAATTTCCCACTGTTGGGTGAGGGAACTGACAAACAAAATGCAGTCAGGCTCCCTCCCAGCAAACCCTGAGATTTCTGGGCAGCCTTAGCTACAGCGTCCCAGGTGACCTTAGATACAGTGTTCTATACAACCTGTAGATTGTGATTGATTATAGTACCTGGCCTTCAGCTACTATTATGCGCCAAGTTATAAGCCCCACATGTATGGCCTGGGGGAAGCTGAAACTGTGCCTGTGTCTTGCTGTGTCCTCTATGCCTGAATAAAGCTATGTGTTATCTGCTCACGGCTTCTCGCATATTCTTCCAGCTGCCAGAACTACGCACTCCAAGCTTCGGTACTCCAAACCTGCAGAACACCTACCTACCTGTAAAACTCCTTCATCAAATACTTTATAATGTTAAACAACTCTTCTAGTTAAAAAATAAAGGGATCTATGAGTCCCCTCAGGTCTCTCCACATCCTTGTGTCTCTACTGTCATGCCCCTAAGACTCCTTACGACACAGTTTGTAATTCATGGTTGTATTGGCAAGGATTGAACTATATCTTCCCTAAATCCCTATGATGAAGTCAGAACCCTCAATGTGCTTTGGAAAGTAATTAGGTTTTGGGTAGTAATTTAGGTAGTAATCAGGAAGGTAATTAGGTAATTAGTAAGGTCATGAGGGTAGGGTCCTCATGAAGGGATTATTGCCCTTATAATAAAAGGCAGAGATATCAGAGCTCTCTCTATACCATGGGAGGACACAGTAGGAATACAGCGAGCCAGGAGCAGACCCTCATCAGATCCTGACCATCTGGAATCTAGATATTCAGAACTGTAAGAAGTAAAAATTTTTTTTAAGCCGCCTGTATGTGATTCTTCATTATGACAGCCAAGCTAACGATTACATAGGTCATAAAAATATTATCACTTTGAATAAGTACCATTCCTCGTGCATGAACAAAGATAGAGCCAAATAAATCCTGCAAAAGTTGAAAATCTCTCTTAGCTACCTTTTTAAGAAACTCCTATCGAAATCTTATTATATTCATTTACCACACAATCATCAGAAGAATCTTCATATTATCCTTGACAATCCATCACTAAAATGGTTTCCAGCATGCTCGGAAAGAAAATAAATCATAATTAAAGGAAAGATCAGTTTGTGCATGTGTTAGGAAAGGAAAACCATTAATACTTCTCTCTCAGCGAAATAATTAAGGTTTAAAAAGTAAAGTACTCACTTAATTTACACTTTGATAGAAATATAAATTTTATGAATGCATGCCAACATCCCTGAAACAGTGTTGGGGCTTCCCTTCATAACCAATTTAATGGCCAATGAGAATGTGATTTAAAACTAAAAGAGATGAAGGAGCACATTATTTAAATGACGCAAAAATAAAAGTTTTAAAAAAGAATATTAGCCCAAGTTACAACCCTCAAAACAAAGAGTCCATAGAAACTCAGTAATTGTGTTTAGCAGCAAAAATAATAATAATAAAGAATAGAACATGGAGAACAGGCTGTTTTAAAAGTAAATGTTTATACAATAATGAATAAATGGAAAATAGCCAGGCCTGGTACACAAGCAGTTATGCAACTTTCTAGATATGCAAAAAAGCCTAATATCAAAGGAAAAAATTTTGGAAATATAGGACATGGCAACATTCACTTCAAGTTTTTAAGTCTTTCATATAACAATAAAATAATATTCATAATGATTCTGAACTAGTAGATAGTAAAATTCCTTCTAAATCATGACAATTTATTTCATAGATAATAGTTTTGTTAAAGAATTTAATATATTCTAATTCTTTTTAAGGTGGTAATTCATGTCTGTAATATCTATTTATGGATCCAAATACATTTTTAAATACCTTTCCTCTAAATACATATTAATTTGTTTAGCTATCACTACAACTCTGTGCAGCAGGGTGAAATATGGCAACTACAAAGGTACAAACCATCAATTACTAGTAGGTTCGGAAACATTGCAAAGAACACAGTCCTCAGGGAAAGTAAAGATAAAAACAATGACAGAACTGTGGTAAGAATTGTCTTAATGATCTCATGTCAGAAGAACACTATCTGATTCCACACAAGAGATTATTTATTTTACCTGAGTGAGGGCTTGATTTTTATACTTTTTTTTCCTTTCATAAATAATCATCCTTGTCCAGACATCAAAATACATTCAACTACAGCCATTGCAACTTTCCTCAAAAGTAAAATTGAGTCAAGATAGATGGACCAGAGACACCTCCTTCTCCTAGGATATGGCACCAGAAATTTTTTCCTTTCTTCAGACATAAGTACTAACCATATACCATAATGACACAGAAAAAAAAAAGCCTAATATCAAAGTAAATACGAATTTCAAAAGTAAAAGTTTATTTTAGAAACATGAGACCTGGTAATAATTCAGCTCAATTTGCTAAGTCTCACATCTAACAGTACAATAATGTTCATAATGATTCTGAACTAGTAGATAGTAAAATTCCTTCTGAATTGTTAAGAATTTATCTTATAGTAAATAGTGTCTGTTAAAGAATTTAATGTATTTTAATTCTTTTCAAGGTGGTAATCCATGTTACAGTTAGAAAAAACGGAGTCCCATCTACCTCCCCACAGCAAACAAATCAAATAATAGAAAGGAAATTAATTCACAAACAACAAAACAAAAAAAAAAGGATAAAACAGTCTATGACAAAATTTAAAACTTTTGTGTATCAAAGAACACTATCAACAGAGTGAAAAGACAACCCACAGAATGGCAGAAAATATCTGTAAAGTTATATCTGATGAAGGGTTAACATCCAGAATATATAAAGAACTCTTATAGCTCAACAAAAATCCAATTTAAAAATGAGCAAAGGATTTGAATAAACATTTCTCTAAAGAAGACATAGAAATGGCCAATAAGCACATGAAAAGGTGCTCACATCACTAATCACTAGAAAATTGCAAATCAAAGCCACGATGAGATACTACTTCATACCAATTAAGGTGGCTAATATAGAGAAAAGAAATACTAAAGTGTGGATCAGGTTAAGGAGAAATTTAAACCTTTGTGCACGACAGGTAGAAATGCAAAATGATGTAGCTGCTGTAAAAAACAGGATGGCAGTTCTCCAAAAAAAAAAAAAAAATAGAATTACCAAATGATTCAGTAACTCCGCTTCTGGTGTATAGCGCATAAAAAATTGAGAACTTTTGGGACTTTACAAAATGGATTCCATGAAAGCCATGACAGTAGTGTCAACTGGCACATAATGGGAACACCCTTCGAGTTTGACTGGAACACCCAAAACCACAGAAACAGCAACAACTGCCCTGGATAAGCCCCAATCTGCAGGGGCCAATAAGCATAAGGATCCCACCTTGTAAGGTCCATATAAGCGGAACACCTTAAACGCTGCTCAAGCCTGACCAGAGAGCATCATGGATGGTGCGCTGAGACCCAAAGACTTTGACCTTCTACCCATCATAGCCACTGGCTTGGGACCTATGCACAGCTCTCTGAGCCGCCAGTCAAGAGAACTTGCTTTGGAGATAAAGACTCAATTCCTTTCTCTCTGTCGCATAAGACTCTGTACTTCCCTTCTCTGTGTGTTGTGTGTTAATCTGCATGGGTATCTGATTAGTTTATCTGAGAAGGTTCCACTCAATAAACCTGGCATTGTGGAAAGACACAAATGTGTTCAAGGTGTTACTTTGGTAGCTGCTTTCCTTGCTAGCAATATCTGGGTATATACCGAAAAGAATTTAAAGCAAACGCTCAGATATTTATTTGTACACTCATGTTCACAGCAGCATGATTCACAACACCCAAAAGGTGAAAACAAACCTAGTGTCCATGGGCAGATGAATGGCTAAACAGTGTAGTGAGTCTACACAATGGAATGTTGTTCAGTCTTTAAAAGAAAGAAATTCTGACACATGCTACAACATGGATGAACCTGGAAGATATTATGCTATGGAAATAAGCAGTAACCAAAAGACAAATACTGTATGATTCTAATATGAGGTACTTAGAGCAGTCAAATTCAGAGACAGAAAGTATAATGGTATAATTCATAGCAATGTGACTGTAACTAATACTACTGAACTGTACACTTAAAACTGGTTAAGAAGGTAAATTTTATATTCGGTATATTTTACCACTATATATATGAAAATTAACTCTTCCATTCAGCTTTCAATTCACTGACTTACCCTATTCCTCAATTTGTCTTGTACTTGTCTAAAATTCAAACTTAATGAATTTTCAAAACCTTGAAAAAAGTAACAGCACTTTCTCAAAACCAAGGTCCAAATTTACTTACCTATTCTGAATTCCCATAGCGTCACTTTTTAGATCATAGAAAATGGCACCTATAACCAGTCCCAGGAAAATTGTTACAATGATCTTTTCAAAAAGAAAAAGAAAAGAGTTTCAATTAAAGGCAAAACCTTAACACACCATTTATTATAATATATGGCCATAATCAAATCTCTCCATCAAGACAGATAATTTAAACGGCTTGACCAAAGTCTTTAAGAAAATATAAAACAGTATATGTCGTTGGAGTGCTTTCTAAATTAAAATTAAAAATAATTTAATTTTTATGCTGAGGAATCTGAAGGAGAACGAAGTAGACTACTAGAAAAGTTGATTCCTCCAAGTTCTTCCCCAGAATTGCCAGTTCGGGGTCCATTTCAGCTACCGAACCTGGGAATACCACACAGGGTAGAATACCACAAGTGCTTAGCGGAGTCCTTTAGGGAATAAAATAAGATCTCAGTGGTTGAGTTCTGGCCAAAACTTTTCTCAACCTTTGAGTTAGTGACCATCCATATTTTTATAATATTTCAAGAGGTTTCAAGTGAAAACAGGGTATCTTTACTCTTAATATTAAAAATAAGTAAAAATTTGAAGGCATATGTAACAAAATTTGTAACAATGGAATTCTGCATGATAAGAAGTGGGGGTAAGCAAGGAATCACCCATGGGGTGGGGAGAGGGGGACTCCATGCCCGCATGAAAAAGTGCACTGTCATTGTCGTCAAGCATTCAGTCAGCTTTCCCTGAGGGCACCTAAGTGCTTCCATTACCCATTGTCCTGTCACTGCTTCCCCAGCAACCTCAGCCAGTAGGGTCGACAGCCCACAGTGCAGGGCTAAGCCTCTAATTCTTTGCCACGCTTACCTACCCTCAGTCTGCTTGATGAATACTAAAAATACTGAAGAAACCACTTTGTTTTTAAGATTGATAAATGTCTCTTAAGGACACTTCTATCAGCAAAGGGTTAAGGGATATATTATGATATAATTTCTTCAAAGAAATTCTACTTATTGTACTTTTAAATTATATTAAATATAAAAATACAAGAAATGATAATTGATAGAAATAAAACATCTAACCTTGTACCTTGGAACCTTCAAAGTTAAAAAAAAAAATCTCAGTACTACAACAGTACAACAGTATCAAGACTTAAAGTAACTTGTCAAGCACACTTTTGGCACAAAGAAACTAAATTGGAAAACAAGATCATGATGTATGAAGTTTATGAAGATCGGTCTGCAAAGAATATGATTTGAGAAGGACTTAAAAATTCTTTTGCTAATAAGACAGTAAGAAATTTGAAAAAAAATCTATTACCCTGCCATATTTCAATTATCCTCAGAAAACACTTTATTTCATGTCAACAGACATGATGACTCCAAAACAAATGAGGACTCCGCCAACACGTATGCATGTGCAAGCCTGTACTTTCACGCAGTATAACATTAAGAATATTCACACTTTTTAAACTGAACACTCCACATGCTTTGCTTCTTCTGCACTCAAACTTGATATCTTTTACTAACAGATTATCGGTATTATCATTAGGATGTTTCCTAACGTTTTCAAAATTCTAAAAGTATTTTCAAAGTCAGCTTTCAAATATGTTGATAAAATGATTAATCCTGGAATATTTTCATGCTTTTACAAGGTCTGTTATTCTTTCTTGCATTAAGAAAGAGAAAAACATACAAAGTAAACACCGTACAACAGAGCAGACAAAGAGACCCTGTCTGTGAATCTATGTATCTGGCCTCTGTTTTGAGCAGGAAAAATAAAATTTCCTGAATATGTGACTATCTTTGTTCAAATGTTTATCAATATTTCTCAAGGTGACTTCTGAGGAATGTTTATGGCCATCACACACACACAAAATTAATGCATGGTCAAATGTTTAATATGTTAATTAAAACGATGAATCTCTAAGAGATATGATGTTTTCCAAATTGATTTGATCAAGAAACCCTTCGCACAACAAATGAACATTAATCTTCTTATACAGATAATATATTCATTCTAAGATCTTCCTAAAACAACCTTTGGTTAAATGCATTATCATAAGCAAAGTCTGAATCACATGAATGACTAGTTCAAACTCAAGTAA